AAAATGTGATTCAAACACGGATTTTAAAACCTTATTTTACTACTTCGATTTACGTGGCAGATAACTATGATGACGTTTACTGTTGAGTGGTTAGGATGTATGATCGAAGAAGGAGCAAGATAAAACTTGTGAAGGCGACCGCATTGGAACATAGCTCAGCGTTTATGGGACCTTTGACTGCTCATATGGTCTTCAGGAGAGTGTCATGGTGTGACGGAACATAGTGCCATGGTGGAATGATTATGATTTTGAAAAAACATAATTAAAAGAAAAAAGAAAGAAAGAAAGAATGTGCATAAATTTGGCTTATTCTATGTTTTTTTTAATGTTTTTTCAAAATCATATTTGTTTATAAAAAAAAATTATCATTATATATAAATATCATTAACATTTATAAAAATAAATAATTAATTAACTACTTTACCTTTATATCTTAATTTTAATTTGTTATTTTCCGATATCGAATAACAATTTTTATAGGAGTTTTCTATAAGTACTTTTTCTTTTTTCCAATTCCAACCTTTCATTTGAATTTTTGTCTTTTTTTTTCTCATTTTTTTTTTTTTAGTTTATTATTATTATTATAATTTCAATTTCCCTTATGTACAATATATTGTTCTGATTGGATCAAAAAAAAATTTAAATTTCAAGTTCCCTTACATAAGTATATTGTTCTAATTTGATCGATTTCTCTTTTTTCTTTTTAATTTTTTTTTTTTGGTTTAACCTGTTCTTGGTAACGCTACTTGATAACGTGTGGCGTTGTTTGTTGTTTTCTACCGCTTTCAAAGATACATGTCTTCTTTTTCAGAGATACATGTCTCTCTGTATATTCCACCAACAATGGCTCCCTTAATCAACCGATTTCCTGCGCCGTATTCCACTTTGAAGCTCCGATTTGGAAAGGTTGGAGAGATTTTTTGGGTTTCATGTTTCTGGTCTGTTTTCTTCTCTTGTGAGATGTCTGCCTCTATTATTTCACACCGATGGAGAAGAAGACGGCGAACCATCGTCGTCGTACCTTCGTCTGTAATTGAAGATCCAGGTCTTCATATTTGCAACCGATCAAATAGGTATTCCCAAATACCCATGAAAACTGACAATCAGTGGTATTCGGAGATCGACGAGTGCATGTGTCGACTTCTTAATCACAAAATCGGTACTTGTCTCTTGGTGCTGGAAGCCTCCGTTTGTCAAACGCTCTACTAGAGACACTTCTTCGCCATCGTTAGCGGATGACCCTAACTTCGACGCTAGAGTTTTACGACATACTGTGACTACAATCGACAACTACAACCGGAAAGCGTTCTATTTCCACGACTTCTCTTCTACTTCTTTACCGCTTCTCCATCCTAAAGCAATCAGCAGGCGGAAGTGGTGGTGGTGGTGTTATTTGGAGTAAGGAATGGAAGGGTTCTGTAGCAGGGGTATGCCAGGGGCACTGCTTCAATCAAATCACATCTACTACTATTGGAAATCTCGAAGCATGGACCTCCATCGACCGCTACTTTGATTGATCATATGCTTAATTTCTTGTGTATACAAATTTACAATACAGATTTCTGACTGAAATTGTGTTTCAATTGATTTATAGGCACAGATGAAATTTAAGGATAAACGGCCTTATACAAGCCAGGAAGGCCAATGTTGTGGATGCTACCCAAGGATTGGGCAACAAGGTATCAAATTTTATACTTTACTTCAAAAATCAACAAACAAACTAACCCATCTTCTTGAATATATATTACTAGATCATATAAGCTTGACATATGACAACCAATGAACAATAAACAGGTCTCATTTGAAGTTGCAAACAATTTGTTAGTGAGTCGGCTCATGTAGTTGCCCTCTTTGTAAAACAGCCCTAATTGCTGCTCCTCCCTGGAACCCATCACCAGACCATAGGAATGGAATGGATATTGCTGACTTTTCATATATTTGTTTTTTATATTTTTCATGATTCTTGACTTTTCACATATTTGTTTTTTACATTTTGTTAGGATTATGGAATGGATATTGCTGAGGCATCATGTCAAATGCTTGAGTTTATTAATCATTCCAACATAAAGGCCACAGATGACATTACAATTCAAGTACATATTTGATATTTCTATCAAATTTTAAGAAAATACACAACATATTAAACAACATAACGTTTTTTGTTGTCAGATTAGCAATAAAGTGAAAAGATGCACTTCAAACAAGAATGATACGGTGGCAGTGGCAGTGGCAGTGACACCATTTATTTTTGTAACGCCCCTAAACCAGAACGGTGGAATCGTTCGAGGGCGGTTGACTTCATGTAGTATCGTAACAGTTGAATACATAGTAAATAAAGTAAAACAACCATCATATATATAATTGAAAAGTTACATTGTTGAATGATACTTGCTTCAAATCAAATTACAATTTGATGAAAAAATGAGTTTTAAACTAACGCCTTAACATCACTTCTCCAAAAGCTGATGTTTACCTGTATTATTGAATCCCTAAGAAATACAAGTAGTTTTGAAAGAGCGTCAACAATTAAGTTGGTGAGTTCATAAGTATTTAATTTCAATGTTTGTATATGTTTGAAAACTCCTAGAAAAATCTCATATTTCCTACTAGTATAAAAGTAGTATTCTACCAAGACCCGACTATTTTGAATGTTTGCTTCTAGAAATCCAAAATTTTTCCATAAGTGTGTGGTAGTTTAAAAGTTCCAAAACTGTAATGCAATAGTGTTTTTCATGCCTAGAATAGTAGATTTATGTATGTATAGAATCACTAAGACATTTGATAACCCCGTAAATCAACGTGTTTTTTTAATACTCCATGTGAGTTTTATAACCATGCTATTGACCCAGACTGCCTATAACAACGTTCTTCAGGTGTTGGAATGTTATGATGTTTGTCACCTCAGACCTGTCGGTCTAACTGTAGCTAACAGTTTAGGTGCGGGATTGTCAATCTCGTATAGATCTATACACAAGTATTACGCTCTCCCTACAAGAGATTATGGTGTATAATACAGGACTTTAACTGCATACTTGAAAGTATGTGAAGTTGAATGGCTCAAAAAACTTAGTATCAAATAGATTTACGTATGAAGATTTCATTTGTTCTTGTGTATGAAATTATTTCCTTGATATAGTACCTATAGTATGTAAAATCTCATGATTTCTTTGTAAACTATACCTATTATAGTTTTTCTAAAAGTGTTTCGTTTGTATGGTAAACCCTAGTATAGTGTCGACTTTGTATGTAAAGTATAACATTTGTAATAATATTATTGAACATTTATACTCAAAATATAAATAAAGTGTTTGATATTTATATAACAACATGTTTTATTCCAAAAGGACAGGGTGTTATCGTGATATGTTGCATGAGAACATTTTCGTATGATAGTTATAAATCACATATGATTGATTATATAACAAAAAGTATAGCAAAAGATTGATGTTTTTCACACGAGGATAACTGTATGTTTACTTGTATCCCCCCCCCCCTTAAAATTGTATGAAAGTATTTACAAAGCATTTTAAAACGTAGTTGTAGGGGTATGAACTCACTTAATAGATCGAAGAAGGCGAGACAAAAACCAAGCAGAAATTCGACTGGAGAAAGTTGATTTCTCAGGATTCTCGGGAATCTCGAGAGCGCAAAACTTCCTTCGGAACTTGGATATGAAAACCGGGACTTTGGGATGGCTTCGAGGGTTTAAACGCAGAGCTTTGGGATGTCCATTCCTCTTAAGGCTTCACCCGCCACATTCCCTGTTTTCAAGGCTTCCTTCTGAGCTTCCTTGATTTGTGTGGATAGGTGTGAATGGATCGTCATGGTTAAGGATTTCACCCAACGGCCCGAGCATTCCTTTCGACTAAGAGCATCAGCTACCACATTCGCTTTTCCTGGATGATAACGAATTTCGCATTCGTAGTCATTTAACAATTCAACCCATCGTCTCTGTCTCATGTTGAGTTCTTTTTGGTCGAGAATGTGCTGAAGGCTCTTATGATCGGTGAAGATTGTGCATTTCGTGCCATAGAGATAGTGTCTCCAGATCTTTAGCGGGAAAACGACTGCTCCTAGTTCAAGATCGTGTGTAGTATAGTTGACCTTGTGCATCTTGAGTTATCTCGAGGCATAAGCGATGACCTTTCCTCGTTGCATCAGCACACATCCAAGACCTTTATTAGATGCTTCACAGTAGACATAGAAGTCTTCTGTTCCTTTTGGCAACGACAATATAGGTGCGTTGCATAGTGCTTGCTTCAGTGTTTGGAATGTAGTGTCTTGTTTTTCCTCCCAATTGAAAGTTACACCCTTATGGGTCAAGGTGGTAAGTGTTTTAGCAATTTTCGAGAAGTTTTGTATAAATCTTTGGTAATAGCCAGCAAGGCCCAAGAATTATCGGATTTCTGTTGGGGTTTTTAGAGCTGAACAGTTCTCGATTGCCTTGATTTTGGAAGGGTGCACGTGTATCCCGTCTTTGCTAACCACGTGACCTAGAAAATCTACTTTCCGAATCCAAAATTCGCACTTTGAGAACTTTACGTATAACTTCTCTTTTCTTAGTGTTTCCAAGATTTTTCAAAGGTGTTGACTATGTTCCTCTTTACTCTTCGAATAGATGAGTATATCGTCAATGAACACGATCAAAAATTTGTGCAGGAATGAACAACACACTCGGTTCATTAAGTCCATGAACATTGTCGATGCATTTGTTAATCCAAAGGGCATTACTACAAACTCGTAGTGACCATAACGAGTTCGAAAGGCTGTTTTGGGAACATCTCCTTCCAAGACTCGCAGCTGATGGTACCCGGATCTCAAATCGATCTTTGAAAAATAACTTGCTCCTTGGAGTTGGTCGAATAAGTCGTCAATGCGTGGTGGGGGATATCGATTATTAATAGTGAGCTTGTTGAGTTCCCAGTAACTGATGCACATGCGGAAAGATCCATCCTTCTTCTTTACGAACAGGACTAGTGCTCCCCAAGGTGAGAAGCACAGTTTGATGAATCCTTTGCTGAGTAGTTCATTTAATTGGCTGGATAATTCTTGCATCTCATCTGGCACTAGACGATACGACGACTTAGCTACTGGGGTAGCTCCGGGAATTAAATCGATTCTGAACTCGACTTGTCGTTTTGGTGGAACTCCTGGAAGATCTTCAGGGAAGACATCAAGAAAATCGCAGACTTCGGGAATCTCTTTGATGTCTTTCATTTCTTTTTCTTTATCTACCACGTTGGCTAAGAAGGCATGGTACTCCTTACGCATGTATTTCTGGGCTTTGGCGCAAGAGATGATTTGTAAATTGGTACCGAGTTTGTCACAATAAATGACAAGAGTTTCACCGTTCGGCAGATTAAGGCAAACGACCCTTTTGTGACAAAGTATATCGGCATGGTGCAGGCTTAACCAATCCATACCGATGATGGCATCAAAGCCCCTTATAGTGATCGGTATTAGATCGATTCGAAGGAGTGTTCGTTTACAGTTAGTGTGCAGCCTACGTACATATCGTTTTTGCTTTCTGTTCTACCGTTTACCATTTCTACTGTAAATATCTTATTGAGTGATTGAGAGTTCTGTTTTAGTAAGTGTTTGAATTTATAACTCACGAAACTCCTCTTCGCACCACAATCAAAGAGTATGCATGCATAAGCGTTATTGAGGAGAAACGTACCCGTAACCACCGTGGGATCAGCTATTGCTTTGTTCTTCCCTATTGCCAGCAATCTTCCTATGCCGCTAGCATTCCTTTCCTTAGGGAAATCTCTCTTGTAGTTTCCAGCCTCACCACACCCATAACACACCTAGCCCACATCGACTCCAGGAATTTGTGTGATTATTCGTGTCGGTGCTTTACAGAAACAGGCAGTGTGCCCTTTCCTGTTGCAGTTGTTATAGTGCATTTCTCGATAATTTCTGTTGTGATGGAAATTGCATTTGCTGCACTTTGGTAGGTTCCCAACAGATTGCTTTGCTGGTGTAGGGGTAACAAGGACAACAGTGGGGGCAGTAACGGCATGGACTGCCACTATCTATTGTTTCTTGGAAGGCTCGTGCGGAAATTGACCCTTCCTCTTGTTCCAAAACTTCTTTTTGTTGTTGTATTGGTATTGTTGTTGTTGTTGTTTCCTATGGGTTGCTACGGAATGGCAGTCGCGAAGCCTTTGCGAACTCCATGGTCAACGAGAGCTTGGACCAACTGTTTGGCACTATCGAAAGTGACTGGTTTGGAAGCTAGTACACTTCCTTGAATCTGGGGTGACAATCCCCAGATGTACCGCTTGATCTTCTTGCTCTCTATAGCAACCATCCCTGGGTAAAGGATTGCCAAATCACTAAAACTATTGGTATAGGTTGTGATGCCTGAGCCTACCATAGTAAGACCCCAAAGTTCATGTTCGAGCTTTTGTACCTCGCCCCTTGGACAGTACTCTTGCATTAACATTTGCTTTAGATTCTCCCAGCCCATAGAGTTAGCCACTACCAGAGTTAGTGCCTCAACATGGCCATTCCACCACGTCAGAGCTCTCTCGGAGAATGTACAGGCAACAAACTTTACCTTGCTCCCTTCCAGACATGAACAGGTCTCGAAAAGCACTTATGTTTTCTCTATCCACTACGATCGAGCCATTATCCCTCCGGACCCATTAAAAGGTATAGGTTTGCTGTTTGTGAAGTCCTTGTAGGTGCATTCCCCTAAACGAATCTGGTGTTGGCCATTCGTAGAGCTACTTATCCCTCCTACAGAACCATTATTACTCATCTGTGCCATTGCTGATGTCACTACAGCTATTACAACAACTATTAAAACGGAATTATCCATCGATGGAGGTGGTGGTGGTGGATGTGTTGTGTTGTTGACATGGCGAGTAGATCTACGAGGAGGCATTGTGTTGCTAATGAAATAACAATGAGAGACCATAAGTCTTTGATGATCGAAATTCAAATGTTAAAGAGTTAGCTATTTTCAATTATTCATGATTTAGGTTGGCCAACACAAGGTTTTGAGTTTGATTCATATTTAGAGTCTATATAATAATAGATAAACTCATGAATTGGAGTGATATGCAAAGGATTAATACCCAAAAGTAATATTTCATTATATGTTAATCATATGCTTGGATTACATTCGAAGTTAGGAAAAATTGACCTTTCTAAAGGTCTCCGATTACAAGAAAGTTAAAGAAAAGTAAGACTTTTAG